ACAATAGCAACATAAATCAAACCGATGATGCTCGTGAATAAGCTTTTTGGTGGAACTCTTTTAGTATTTCAAATTAGCATGAGAAAGCGGTGCGAAATAAGCTCCAAGAGAGTAAAGGTTTTTGTCAGAAGATCCATGAAACCCAATGATCTTCTTGCCTTTGACTTCAAGTTTATACGTAGTACCTAGGTTATATCCCATGACTGCGGAAGTCCTGATATTAGTTTTGATCACAAGTCCTTGTATTGCACCCTCGTCCAAGTAACACGTAACTGATACGATATGTTCGTCACACGTATGGTTTAGATCAAACTGAAAAAATGTATATCGAAAAACAATTCAGATTTGATTGAAAGAAAATGATGAACAGATCAAACATTTATACAAAGTCCATAACATCAACATAGCCTAAATATATATATCGAATCTGACCAGAAGCTAAATATATTATGGACAAAACATAATTAATACATTGAATCAAGGAAGAATCCGTAATGATTGAACTATGAATACCAAAATTGTCAAAATCAGACTGATGCGACCTAGCATACTTAAAAATGGCAATAAAATACGAAAGAGTTTGAAGACTTACACACTCGGTGAAATTATGAGCCGAGCCACCATGGATTGGTCCAGCTATAGGTTGTCCATTCTTGACATAGTCGAACTTTATGGACTCAATACCTTCACAACCTCTCGTATATAGATTTGTGATACACCTTCATGGTTGTCTCCATCATCTCATTCCTTGCCTCCATTCCCGCCTTTTGCTTCCAACTTTTTGGCCATAGGGAATCGATTTGAATTTGATGCTAATGATACATCAAAGTGAAAAAGTCTTAATTTGAGTAGTAAGATAATGCATCACTTAACTCCACGTTCTGTTTCTTCGGCTCGGTGTGATTCACATAATAGAGCATACCAAAAAGAACAGTTGGTATGTTCTGTTCGCTCTGTTTCTTATGGCCTAACTATTTAGAATTTCAAGATTTTTAAAAAACACCAAAAAAATAACAATGAGCTAATTTGTACCTGATGGACCTCCAGAATAGATATTAGATTCAGGATGTAGCATTGTCCATAGATTCAGAAAAGCATTTGAATTTATCCATGTTCAAGCTTGAGCTTTTGAGGGACTGATTGGTAGTTGCGGTCTCATTAACTCTTTCCGGGGGTATTCGTTGACTTGCCTGAACTAGTTGCTCGTGTGCCACGTCTTCCCCGACCTTTGGGTGGCTTATTCTT